CAAAACGCCTCCCGCTGGGCCCCCAGACTGGGCTGCTCGGTCCAGGTAGGGTCTGGTAACGTGTGACCCGCTGCTGGGGTCGCCTGACGCCCTATCTTCGGGCTCCTCTTTGCTTAAGGAATTTCAGACAGCTCTGGAAACAGGTCTGGCCGCATATTTTGAATGCCGGGCGTCCTCTTCCCGAGTAAAGTTAAAGGGGGAGACCAGAGACTTTTCTGTTAGCGTGAGCGCAAGTTTCCGGGCACCGCGCTCTGAGCGCGCTCGCCCAGGCTCAGGCTGGGACTCGGCAAGTAGAACTCGCATCTCTCGGCTGTAGAACGGAAATCGAGTGCCTGCCTCTGGGAGCTAGAATGGTTCCCCGGAGAACGCACACCCTCTTAACTCCTCGGCTTAGCGATCTTTTTGTACCCCCGCCCCCAATTTCACAACAGACAAGTGGAGGCAAACCGGTTATTTAGATAATTCCTGCCGTCAGCTGTAAAGTCCCGCAGTGTTGTGGACGGGCCGCTCGCAGTTGCTGAAAGTCCCGGGACCTTGACGGCATTGGGGCGGGGGCAGTGTGCAGGTCAGGGACAGAGGTAGGGCTGGCTTACATTTCCACTCCCAGCTGTTGAGTTTTTCCATCGCTCTGAAAATACAGAGCCTGTTACTACGGCTCTGGGAAAACACATTACTTAATCATATAATTTAAACAAAAAAATGGCCTTGCTTTTAAATTTGAAATGCAAAACTCAGGTCAGCAGCAAGGTCTGTGCTTTGAAAAGTTCCCGTGTTTCCTTTTTTAAATGTTTGGTTTAGCTAGAAGTAGCATTTACTGAATGCCACATGATCCCATGGCTGGAGTTAGCTTTGCTCTTATTTTCGTTCTCCTTGGAATCTGTTTGCATTGCTCATACGTGTATTGTTCAGATAGTAGATTTTTGTCAGAAATTAAAAGAACTGTGAAAACTTGGGAGAGGGTCTTGTTAGTTTTTAGGTGGGGAGACAAACAGAAGGGTGAGACCGAATAGAGTTGAAGTCCCCTTTGACTTTTTGTGCTCAAGCCAATTACTCAACATGGCCCAGCTTTCTAGCAAGAAGGGTCCAGGGAAACCAAAGTCTTTTGACAGTGTCAAGTGCTGGGTGGCTCTGTGTCAGTGGTTGGAGGCCGGCCGGCCTGCAGGGCACCTGGGGTGGGGTGTTCGCAGGCCCAGGGTCTGCACTGACCTACTCTGTGAGTCTGCTGCTGAGCATTTTGTGAACTAGGAGTTGTGATGTCGGCTCTCCCTTCTTCAAGGGACTGTAGACATATGGAACAGTCTACTTGACAGTGCTATTACGCCTTTTAAAATGGATTCTTTTAAAAATACTTAGTAGGGGCCTGGGAGTTAGCTCAGTGGTGCCTCGCAAGTGCAAGGCCTGGAGTTTGATCCCCGGTACCAAAAATAAAATTTAAATTAAATTAAAAAATAAAAATGTTTAGTAAGGACCGTTCTTAACTCTTAAGATCATTATCTCATGTCGGGTTCTGTGGTGCATACCCATAATCCCAGCAGTCCCACTTACAGACTAGAGCATCATGGGTTCAAGGCCAGCCTGGGGAACTTAAGACATTTTCTCAAAAAAATTTTGTTGTTGTTGTTTTTGTTTGGGGTATCACACTTGGGTCCTTGTGCTTCTGAGGCAGGTGGTGGAACCAATGAGCTAAATCCCCGACCCTGTTATTGTTGTTTTTGTTTCTTTGGTACTGGGGATCAAACTTGGGTCCTTGTGCCAAGCTAAATCCCTGGCCCATTTTCTCAGAAAAATTTTAAAAGACCTAGGGCTATTGCTCAGCACACCTTGGGTTAGTTTGCAGTATTTAAAAGAAAGAAAGAAAGGAATGTTATTTCATTACATTATTTAACCTTATAAATTAAATATTTGTATCTCAAATTTTTCTCATGGATAAACTGAAATCCAGAAAAGTGTGTTAAGTTGCTCACCAGCTAAGTTGCCAATCCAGGATAAGAACATAAGTCTGTCAGCTCTTAGTTTTAACCTTAGCATGGAATACACAGCACTGTAATATTCTCTTCTCTCTTTCAGGAAAAGCAGATGATATTCTGAATGGAGGCCATGATAAGGGAAAGAAAGACCCTTATTTTGTGGAAACCCCCTATGGCTATCAACTAGACTTGGATTTCCTCAAATATGTGGATGACATCCAGAAGGGAAATACCATAAAAAAACTGAACATCCAAAAGAGGCGGAAGCCATCTGCACCATGCCCAGAAACCAGAGTCACCCCAGGTCCACAAGGTGTGTGGACTTCCACTGAGTCCCTCTCATCCTCCAACAGTGATGACAACAAACAGTGCCCTAGCTTCCTCCTAGCCAGAAGCCAAGTTACATCGACCCCGGGCCCAAGGCCACCTCCCCCTCTGGAGACCTTGTCCACTTTTCTTCCCATCCCTGAAAATCCACAGCTGCCCCCTCCCTCCCCACAGTTCCCAAAGCACAACCTTCATGTCACCAAGACACTGATGGAGACCCGGAGAAGACTTGAACAGGAAAAAGTCACCATGCAGATGTCACCAGGTGAATTCAGAAGGCCCAGGCTGGCCAGTTTTGGCGGCACAGGCTCCACGAGCTCTCTTCCTTCCTTTATCGGTTCTGGAAACTACAGTGCTGCCATTCACCAGCTTCAGAATGGTTACCAAGGCAATGGGGATTACGGAGGCTATGCCCCGGTGGCTGCCACTGCGTCCTCCATGGGGAGCTCCATCCGCCACAGCCCTCTGAGCTCAGGGATCTCCACCCCAGTGACCAACGTGAGCCCCATGCACCTGCAGCACATCCGTGAGCAGATGGCCATTGCGCTGAAACGCCTAAAGGAGCTCGAGGAGCAGGTGAGAACCATCCCCGTGCTCCAGGTGAAGATCTCTGTCTTGCAGGAGGAGAAGCGGCAGCTGGCCTCACAGCTGAAGACACAGAGGGCTGCCTCACAGAATGACCTCTGTGGTGTGAGGAAGCGCTCCTACAGCGCAGGGAACGCCTCCCAGCTGGAACAGCTCTCCCGGGCGCAGAGAAGTGGCGGTGAGTTATACATTGACTACGAGGAGGAGGAGATGGAGAGTGTGGAGCAGAGCACACAGAGGATCAGGGAGTTCCGGCAGCTCACCGCAGACATGCGGGCCCTGGAGCAGAAGATCCAGGACAGCAGCTGTGAGGCCTCCTTGGTGCTCAGGGAGAACGGACAGGGCCCACCTCAGGAGTGCCGGTCTGTGGCTGTAGGTGGTGACGAGAACATGAACGACATTGTTGTGTACCACCGGGGTTCCAGGGCTTGCAAGGACGCAACTGTAGGGACAGTCACCGAGGTGAAGGATTCTGGTGTTGGTGTGACAGAGGCCATGCTTGGACTGACAACAGAAGCTGACAGAGAAATCGAGCTGCAACAGCAGACCATAGAAGCCTTGAAGGAAAAGGTTTACCGCCTAGAAGTACAGCTTAAAGAAACCACCCACGACCGGGAGATGACCAAACTGAAACAAGAGCTGCAGGCTGCTGGATCCAGGAAGAAAGTTGACAAGGCCATGACGGCCCAGCCGCTCGTCTTCAGCAAGTTGGTGGAGGCAGTGGTGCCGACAAGAGACCAGATGGTTGGCAGTCATGTGGACCTGGTGGACACTTGTGTCGGGACCTCTGTGCAGACAAGTAGTGTAGGCATCTCCTGCCAGCCAGATTGCAAGAATCGAGCTGTGGGGCCCGAGCTGCCCATGAATCGGTGGATTGTTAAGGAGAGGGTGGAAACCCATGACCGATGTACAGGGAGGTCTGTAGAGACCCGTGACGAGTGTGTGGGCGTGGAAGTCAGCATCTGTGAAACAGGCAGCAACACAGAGGCATCTGTGAGTGACCTGACACTCCTCAAGACAAACTTGAGTTTAAAAGACGTGCGGTCTATCGGCTGTGGAGACTGTTCTGTCGATGTGACGGTCTGCCTTCCCAAACAGTACGCCTCCCGCAGCATGAACACAGAGGCTGTCGCCCGGGTGGAAGCGGCCACCATGGCAGCACCTGCTACCATGAACCGGCACACCTGTACAGTTTTTGAACAGGTGAGCCAGTCCACAAACACTAAGCCGACCGTGCTGGTGGATTGCTGCACCAACACTTCCTTAAGCACTCTGGACAAGCAGACCAGCACACAGACAGTGGAGATGCGCACTGTGGCCATAGGAGAAGGCCGAGTCAAGGACGTCATCTCCTCCACCAAGATGCGGTCTGTTGGTGTTGGGACCCTGCTTTCTGGCAATTCTGGGTTTGACAGGCCATCTGCTGTGAAGACCAAAGAGCTGGGCGTGGGGCAGATAAATATTCATGACAACTATCTGGTTGGTCTCAAAATGAGGAGCATAGCTTGTGGGCCCCCACAGTTGACCGTGGGGCTGACCGGCAGCAGGAGGAGCGTGGGAGTTGGGGACAAGCCTGTAGGGGAGCTCCTGGAGGACTCCCAGCCCCTGGCTCCCTCTGGAATGGTGACCAACTTGGATCACTACATTGAACGTGTCCAGAAACTGCTGGCAGAGCAGCAAACGCTGCTGGCTGAGAACTACAGTGAACTAGCAGAAGCTTTTGGGGAGCCTCACTCACAGATTGGCTCCCTCAACTCACAACTCATTAGCACCCTGACCTCCATCCATTCTGTCATGAAGTCCGCGAGCACCGAGGAGCTCAAAAACGCTGACTTCCAGAAAACCAGTCTGGGTAGAATTGTAGGTAGGTGGCATCTTGAGGGGCCTGGGAATACCGGAAGTGCTTTAGTCCATTTTCTGTTGCAATAACTGAATTCCAGAGAGTGGGAAATTTCTAGAGAATAGAAGTTTATTTAGCTTACGATTGTGAAGCTGGGAAGCCCAAAGTCTAGTGTCAGCATCCACTGAGGAGTTTTCTGCTCCATCAGTTTAAGGCAGAAGACATCAAACGGTCACACAGAGCCAGGGTGCCAGAGACTCCTTCACTAACCCCCTGCCTGATAGTGACATTAAACCATTTTGAGAGCAGAGGTTAAATTTCCAACCCCCAAACCCATGTCCCTGAACTTTTAGGGACACATTCTCTTGAGAAATTTTGTCTTCCCAAGAGCTAAGGATGTCTTTTTCTTAACTGCTTGAGCCATTTTTTGGAACTACAGAGAAAGCCTTAGTGTGGTCATGGGCATAATGAAAACTGAAAATTCAAATCTGTGAGGAATTGCGCTGATTCTCAGTGTCTCGTCTTTTTGGTCTCTGAGGACTAACATAAGAAAAGTAAACTGGTATTGTCAGACTTAGAGGTTATCTTCTGGAGCAGCTAGTTTCATGTGATGTTTTATTGTCTTCCAGTTATTAACTTGATCATTTTATATAGATCTCCCTGAAGAAAATCCTGTATTATTTGTCCCTACAATTACCAGCAGTATAAAGTGTTTACAGTTTATATCTCCACGAAGGGAAGAGACTTCATCAGTTCATTTTATTAATGCTGCAAATAATGATTAGTGTTCTACTCCATGTCAAGCATAGGCTAGGCTCTGAGGATAGTTTAGCAAATAAAGCCAGGGTCCCTTCCCCGAGAGGTTTTACCATTCCAGCAACATCACAGACCTGAAACAGGCCCAGGAGGAGGCAGGTGCTATGAGTGCGTGAGTCTTCTTGGGGTGGAGGGTAGGGAGCAGGAGTGGTTCTAGGTGGAATTATTGCAAAGAGGGACTCTTGGGCAGGAACTCTGGGAGGAGAGGCTCTTTTCCCACTGCTTCTTTTAGTAGACACATATATTTTGCCTTTCTCTTTCCCTTTGTTCTTTGGGATTCCTGCTCACCTCTGCTTTTCTTTAAATTGGAGCTGATCACTGAGAAACTGCGCAGGGAGATTTTACACTGTGTGGTTTCCCTGTTAGCCTCATTGAAGTCCCTTCCCTGGATGTCAGGTGCCCTGTATCTTCTGGGGCTGAGGCCACACCACCCAGCGATCATTCCTAACACTCCAGTTCTCACAAACCAACGTGATCAGGAGAAGGATGTGTGTGTGCACATCAAAATTTTTTTGTGAAAATGTGCAATGTAGACTTCAGTAAGCCCTCCACAAAAGGTTACAGTCTTTTTTCGTTCTGTAATCCCGAAGTAATGATCAAAATGGACTGAAATAGATTCTTTTTATATCTTCCTACATTTCCACTTTCAATCTGAATGACTGTTAGTTTTTAGTATCTGCTGTGGGACACAGTTTATTACGGAAGAGAACAGTGAATGCGACAGCTGCTGTGTGGGTTTTTTCTTTTAGAATCCAGAGTCTCATAAATGTACAAGGGAGTCATTTTAAACGGGATTATAACAGTATGTGGACTGACGTAACAAATAAAATGTCTGCTTCCACATCCTTTTAAAAATCATGATGTCAGATAAGTTGCGTCCAGTCACAGGTGGCACAGAGGATCATAAAAGCATTTACTTCCCAGCCTTCCTCCCTCCTTCTCTTTCACATTCTTGCCCAAAATATTCAGCTGTGACAATGGAGTAATTTGTTTGGCCCCCCAGGCTTGGAGACCAAGCAGCAGGTGCCCTGTGGTTCAGCTGCGGTGTGTTTTGGTCTGTTTCCACTGCTGAGACATTCCACACAGCACTGTGTAGATCTGATTATGCACACAAACAGTTAGCTAAAAGGACAGGAGACCTACAGCATTCATAAATAAAAGAACAAATATTTACTTATTTATTGGTACCAGGGATCAAACTCAGGACCCCTTCGCCCCTCCCCTCCTTGGATCAAACGGAGGCCATTCATTCATTTATTCATTTAATCGTACTGGGGATTGAACTCAGGACCTTGTGCTTGCTGGGCGGGCACTGTGCCACCGAGCTAGATCCCTGGCCCAAGAATGAACATTTTAATAGCACTGCTTTAGTTATAGTGGTAGTTTTTCCCAGAGTGCACAAGAACATCTTTTATCTGAAATTCGTGTTCTTTGTATTTTAACCACATTGCTTTAGAGTTCTGATGAGAAGAGAATTGCGTTAGCAACTGTGGAGCCACGTTATGGCGCTGGTGTATACGGGGCTGAAAGCTAAGGCATCTTGGTACAGTGAGGTGTGAAGAATGAAGGTGCGCCCCGGCTTGCTGTGTGTGTTATCACGGTATGCCATATATATACACGTATGACAGTCCAGCGTGCTGCTCGTGCAGTGTGGAGTGCATGTCTGCGGGAAGATGTAGTAGGGTACTTGCTCACACTTTGCCCCCTCCCGCAAAGTGAAAGGGAATTTGGATTTGACGTCTGCCAAAGAAAGCTCGTAGTCATTTGTATGAATCTAACACTTTAAAGTTAAATTTATGCTCTGCAGTCAGCAAGTCTGCATTCAGACCCTTTCTGTACCACTAGGGTGAGTTGTCCTTGTTCCCTCGTAGGACTGGAATGAAGGTTTTGTGAGGCACAGTAGTAAAGGATTTGGAGTAGTCTGCAGCAGAGTACCAGTGCCCAGTAAGTGCTACTGTTGTCATTGTTTGAGCACCCCCAGAAAGAGAAATGTAGCCATAGAACCACTGGCAGACAGATTTTGCAGATAATCTTTTATTTCTAATCCAAGTGTTCATCTTCATAATTCTGGCTTGTGGCTTTTTCCTCCACTAGCAGATTTATCAAGATAAAGAAATACATAGATAAAACTGGGAAAACAAAATGAATGTGATTATTTTCAAGCCAGAGTCATTCAGAATCATTGTTAAAGCACAGGACAGAGTATATTTATACCGAATCAGTAGAATGCTGTGCATTTTTCCTAGAATGAAAGATTTGATGGTGTTTCTTTTTAATGTGCAAAATATTTTTAGTGACAGAATGCCTGACTGTCCTGTTCAGCTTCTTAAAATCACAACCAGACTGGAGTATGTGTTCATAAGTTAACAATTCAGGGGGCACAAAGAGAGCAGGACCCTCTCTCCTGTATACATGCATTAATTACCCCATTGTGCTCGGTATGTATGAATGTGAAAGTGCGCAGCTCCTCATTTCAGAAATAGACTTTTCGTTTTTGTAAATAAAAAAGTTTTATCTGTATATTTTTTCACCCAGAAGGTCACAGACGTTTTCCCAAGATTAGAGTGACAGTGTTATAGCTTTGTAGCTGGAACTTTGTGGTGACCAAAGATGTACTTTTTTGTTTTGTTTTGTTTTTGGTACCGGGGATTGAACTCGGGGTCTTTGCGCTTGTAAGGCAGGCCACCGAACTGCTGAGCTAAATCCCTGGCCATGTATTTAATTCCTGATAGTCTGAGTTTAATGTACTTAATAGTTTCCACTGAATTCAAAAAAGTAAGAGGAAATAAATGTTCTCTACAAAAACCTTAGGATGTAATGTTTATTTTTTTTGAAAATCAGTGGGATTGTTCTTGGTTTGAGGAGTGAGTTAAGTTTTTCTTTTTCTTTTTCCTTTGTGAAAGAGTGGAAGGAGAGAGAAAATTCTAGATAAATGACTAATACTTACAAATACCCTAAAAATGCGTTACTGTGAGCAAATATGAATGAGTGGAACTTAACTGCCCGCCATGTTATTTATAGAAAATTTATCTCCTATGCAAAGAGAAGAACTACTTTTTAAGTCAGCTTCTGTATTTGTACTCTTGGTCATCTTGGGTTTTTTAAAAAGTTAATGGGTTTGAAGTCATTCTCATAACTGTAAAACTGTTTGCAGAGAGATACCAAAAGCAGGAAAATGAGGTCATTATAGAACACCATTTTTAGTTCTTTGTCTCCTATTTCAAAAGCATGAAAATAATCTAAACCAAATGTTTCTGGAACCCTGCGGTGGTATATACTGGCATGGTGTGAGGGTCTACTAGCCTGAAGGCAGGAGCCCTGATTTCTACATCATCTGTGATGGAATTTGGGAAAGGGTACTTAGGCTTAAGGGAAAGATCTTTAAAAGATTTAATTCTGCCCATCACCTTCGTGAGCCCTTCAGTTGGCATTTGTTTGAAAATCTCGTTCTTTTAAACTAATGTTCTTATCTTTTTGGGGGTGGGGGGTACCAGGGATCAACTTGTGCTTAGGAGTCAGGCGGGTGCCACTGTGCTAAATCCCTGGCCCCTAAACTAATGTTTTTAAATGAGCATTAGTAAAATGAAAATATGCTGTAAAAAAAAGATGTAGGCTTACTTTGAATCCTAAGGTGTGCGGTTCATTTCAAGCTGACTCATGGAGATAAGTAATCTTCAAACACCTAAATAGCTTTGAGTCCACTCGCAAATGTAGTGACTGATCCTGGATGACAGGCACAGCTGTTTGTTTTTCATTCATACTTCAGTGAAGACATTGAAAGTCTGCACTGTCCCCTCTTATCATCTCAGTTGATAGCATGCATTAAGTGTCATCTGTACGCAAAATGTGGTACTGCAACAGAGACAGAAGGTGTCCCTTGAAGAACTTGGTATCTAGTTGGGAAGCCAGGACGTGCACACCTATGGCAATACCAGTATGTTAGGTTCAGAAGGATATGCAGTTAGAACGTGCTCAGGCTACAGCTGTAGTCCTTAGCTGAGTCTGGCAAGGAGAGCAGGACCTCAGCTGAATTGGGAGGAGCACAGTTTTTACCCAGCTTTAGTTAATGCAGCCTTTCAGCTTGGGATTTCTGGGTCAAGTCTTGGGATTCGTATACGATTAAATGTGGGTGGGGTGAGGTGGGGCTGAGGGAGAATCTGGTTCTTAATCCACTCTAGCATTTTAATTTCTAAGCAAGTGGCAGCTGT